TAAACAACGCATCCATGCCAAACTCATTTTCCCCTCTTTGAGACAGGGTCTTACTGTGTAGACCATGCTGTCCTGGAACCCACTTTATAGACCAGACTAGCCTCAGACTCCTAGACATCCACCTGCCGCTACCAGCTTCCCATGCCCAGCTTTTCAGATCCAATTTTAAATGATGGTTTTCCAATGGATAATTCTTGTATGACTTTTTATTTTTTAAGAGTAGAATATAGCTGAGGATATAGGGCAAATGGTAGAGCATTTGCCTAGTTCAATCTCCAGTATCACAAAGTAATCAGTGGAATACACAAATGAACTAGTTATAATTTAAAATTAAAAAATTTTAAGACAAACTAAGGCATTTCAAGTTTTTATAATCACTCAAAACCATTGTTATATTATGCCTTTATACAGTATAATTGTAAAATTTTTTTGGTGGGCAGGAAATGTAGATTAGAAGTTTTTAATCGTAATTCCTAAATTCTGTGCATATTTATTTGGTTATATATAACAATACTTTTGACTTGCCTGGCAAAAACAAGTTATTTAAAATTCTTGTCAACCAATGGAAGCTGTGTCATGAGTTACTAAAGAACAGATTTAATATATAAACACAAAGGTTAGTTGTCTTTTTCTAGATTGGGTATGTAAACAGAAGTTCACCACAGCTGTCTGTGAAGAGTTATTTATTAATTGTTCCACAATAGTACTAAAGTTCAAAACAAACCAAAGTACCACAATTGGTCTGAACTGAAAGAATGACAAAGTTAGAATGAATTTCCAAAGATCCCCTTACCCTTCCGGGTAAATTCCCCTTCTCAAATTGTAACGTTTCTATTTCCTTTGTCCCTTTAAACCTGTTCCTTTTTGATTCTAAGGTAACGCTGAATCCCCAACCCTACCCCTTCTTCCTTTATTCTGTAGAGAGAATGCATATCTTGCCCTTGGGAGTATATGGTCTAAGTCATCAACTTCCCGAGCTATTTATTTATACTTCCCAAAATGACCCATTTCAAAATATAGCATGTTTTTCAAGTCTGATCTTGCACTGTACATTTCAGCCCAGCTAGTCACATGGGAGCTATGCTGAGCAGTCTTACTCCTATTTCATAAAAGGTATGGGCTGGTTGTGCTTGCTTGCATTATCTGCTAGTACATATCCAGGAACTGCTTTTGTACAAGCAAAGAACTTTCATAATTGGCTAATCATTACATTGCTAACATTTGTGTTGATGGAAACTACTGTCAAGCCTGAGCAAGGTGCTTATGAGAAAGTGTGCAAAGAATTCCCAAGCTCTACACAACTTATTATTTGACTGGCATATCACTCAACTCCAAGCTTTCTATAACCTAAATGCTTTCTGCAGCTGGTGATAAGCTGCAGATGAAATCTGTACTGGATACATTTCAGGCATTAATTTTTATTTGTACAATAAAATTTCGCTATCTAGAATCTTCAAGGAAGATTCTTTGTAGGTGTCCATAAGTAAGACATATGCTTGCTGACTGACTTGTAAATTCTGTGTGGGTGTGTACCCACTTAAGGGCACTCAGGGAGGCCCTGGCTCTCCCAAGTGTGGGCTCTACCAGTCTGTGATCCCAAAACTCTTAGGTAGAATTTCACTGCATAAGCTATGAAGTTAAAAATTTAGAACCTATGAAGCCAGTCAAATAATATATTTTTAAGCAAAATAAAAAGCAAAGCAGAATTACCTCATAAAGGTAATGACTTCATTAAAACCAAGTAGTCTAAAATTCTTTTTTTTTTCTAAACCAAGGGCAAGACAACAGAATTTCAAGGTGCTATCTTTAATGCTGTTCATTCTAAGAAATAAATTAAGGCCATAAAAAAATAAAAACAGAATTTCCCTCAAATTCCATCAGGAACTCTAGCAGATAATCAACTGCCCAGATCCCTCCCTCCAAAATCAGGAGAGCTACAGGCCACCGCTGACACCACTGTTAGGAGAACTAAATCCTATCATTATGTATCAAGAGGACACACGAAGACCACTAAACTCAGAAAATGATAGCCTTTAGTATGTTTTACTCTAAAAATAGTTGTAGTTGAATTTTCCCCTTTTCCTTAAAGGAAGTTCTTCTGTTTAACAAAGAACTTACGAATTTAGAGGCCAAGGGCTATACATGTCTTCACGAGGTTAGCTGCTCAAACTGTCACCCAGCCAGGATTAAAGGTCACTGAACAAATTATAAAATGCTGATTATCAGGAATGAAAATAATATTAAAATGGACAAGAACATCTGCCTAATTAGTGTAATACATGAAATCTGAGGTAGACATTTGTATCTTGTTTGCAATACTTAAAAAATTTAAGCACATTATTCTGTTCTCATGAAATTACCTCACAAACTACTGACCAATAATTTCTGAAAAGCTATCCTGAATTTATGCGGTGCAACTGAACCCCACAGCAGCGGGCCCTACTTCACACCTAGTGCCTTTTTTCTTTTTGAAACAGTCGCGCAACCTGGGCTGGCCCCATCCTCATCTGTAGTCAGAGATGGGCTTGTGATCCAGCTGCCTTCACCTCCTCAGTGCTTACTACAGGAGTGCAGAGGAGCTGGCGTACTAGGTGCTAGACAGAACCAACCCAGGCACCTGGTGCATGCTGGGCAAGAACTCCACCGAGCTACCTATATTCCCAATCCACACTCTATTTAATGTCTTAAAAACAAGACTTGAATCATACACACTCTATAAAAGGAAAACAAAAAGGCAGCTGTGATCTGGGGAAAACACACCCTTCAGGGAATCAAGTGACTAGACTCATGGTAGATTGAAAGACGCTTCCCTTTAGCACTTGACTCCAAGAAACAACCAAGTGCAGGAGTAACTATGGCAAAACAAACTATACTACCTTCTACTGCACAGGCCCATGCTCACGGTTACTATAAATTATGTATCATTACACATATACACACAGTCTCTGAGGGCATTCTACCTTCCAACATTTTCACCATTCCACCAATATTCGTACCATTAAATCTCAAAGTAGTTTTCTTAACATCTCAAGAGATTTTCAACTTTTTCTTTTAGACAAAGTCCCACTGTGCCCTGGCTGGCCTAAACCTCGCCCTGTAGACCAGTCTGGCCTTGAACTCAAAAGATTCATCTGCCTCTGCCTCCCCAGGGCACGCATCATCACGGTCAACCTCTTCTATCTTTTAAAGTTAGTGTTTACTTCAAACACCTTTACTGCATCCTCTGTATTAAAATCTCATCTTTCCTTCTAACACCTACTCTGATCACAATTTCTTAACATTTTAACTGAAATTTAGCCCCTTCTTTTTCTAAAAATGCTCAAGACCATTTTAATCCATCATTCTGTAATTTTATTATAACCCCTTGAGGCAAAAGGATATATAACACCTTAAGCCAAAAATATTTCAGTATGACTTTAAAGCCTCAATAAATAATCTCCCTAAGATAATATTTAGGATGGTTAGCGTAGTTTCAACATAAAATTTACATTAGATATCTATTATTTATATTGTGCACCTCAAACAAAATATTCAACGCATTTTCATATAAACCTAGAAAGACAAAAGGCAATAAAATACAATAAAAATGCAATCTCCCAAATTACAATTTATACCATTAATGTATTTTATGAAATGTAATCCACAGAAAACTGAAAAATATGACTAAGTGATATCTCCTTTCTTCAATTTTGTGATTAACAGGACTTTTATTGGTAGTAAACTAGAGCAAACAATCAGAATAATACATATGTAGTATTCAGTACACACAATAAAAGTTAAAGAAATTCAAAACCTGTATAAAACAAAAGGGAGAGAGAGAAAAATCATACAGCTTAAGAGATACAGGGATAAAGGTCCTCTCCATCTTTGATCACACTTGTCTCTGTACCCAACAGAACTTACTGCACTTAATAAGACATACAGACATTTTAGTACTGAGTGTATTAAAAGAATTAAACACATTTTTCTAAAAATCTTTCAATGACAAGTTGGTACCCTTTAGCTAACTAAAGCTAAAGGGAGGAAGGTGGGAAAAGGGAATTAACTAGTATTTTGTAACCATTTTTAATAATTTCTTGTTTTCCAAACACTGCTTTTATAACAGAAGTGTTTTACACTTGCACAATATTAATTACTTTATTATACATGGAAGCCTGTGGTAGGCCGATTACACAATGAGACTGCAAACAACCAGTGGTACTTTCCTGACGTCAGAGGAGTTCATAAGACTGAAACATCACCAAAAGTACATAAAAACTCATCAGCATAAACATCAAAGTACATTAAAAATATAATCAGGAAAAAGTACAATGCTAAAAAGTGGTTTAGAGCAGAGCCACTGCCTATCAGCAGCCTCAAATGGCAATTAGCATTCATAGCAAGTTTTGATGACTTTACAAGATCCCTGTACAATACTGACTAATACACCCCTTCAAAAAGTACATTAAAGGCTGCAATTTCACAGAGTTCTGATGTCATCACTAAATACACACTCTTATCTGTTACACAAGCTATGCCAACAGATGGGATTACAACCCTTTGACATCTATAGCCTGTACATGGCAATCTGTATTGGATTAAAACAAACAAACAAAAAAAGTGAATGTCAGGGACATTTTTATCCTATTGTTTAGTATCTGAATGCCATAAGACACATAAAATGCATAATCAGTTATCTATTAGATGATACATCACTTCTAAAATTGGAACCATCAAGACAGGGTGAAGGAACAAGAAGGCCCAGAACTTTAAGAGGAAGTTAAGAACAAGTACCAAAAACCAGAAGTGAAGGTGGTATGTGATAGCATAAGTGACAGAATGTTTTTAGGCCATGTATAATGAATTAATGCATACCCCAAATATCAATGGATTATGTGAATCGAACTTACTTTCTAATACTGAAACCAACCAACCACTTGGGTTTTAACACTGTACTAGATAGACATTCACAGAATCACTTAATGGAATTACAGCCTTATTATAGGTGGATAAAGAGGGTGCTTTTTTTTTTTTTTCCTCTTTCTTTTATTAAAGCTATCATTCCAGGCTTTGATCAAAGATCCAAGAGTATTTGTTCTACCAAGCTGGAATGAATGTGGGTTTGGAAGTTTGGAGTACATTTAAAAGCTGCAACGAAATATAGGTAGCCAACAACCTCAGAATTTTGGATCAGCCCAGACAGAGATAGCACTTGAAATGTTTTCGATCCCTTACTTAAATGACGAAATGTATATTCTATCAGCCCAGAAAGAGCAATCTGAAATGTTTAAGATCCCTTAACTTAAACAATGAAATGTGTATCATACTATTTGTAAATTGGATATTCCATTACGGTGATAACGTACAGAATTCCCATGCGTTATTACACTTTCCTGAGAGTAAAGCAATTAGAATAACCTTAATCCTAGCAACAAAGTTTCTTTTTTTTTTCTTTTCTGTTTTCTTTTTTTTTTTTTCTGTAGTTTTGTTTTGTTTTTTGTTTTTTTGTTTGTTTTTTTTTTTGCATTTAAAACTTTTGGGCTATTCCCTGACAATCTATACATGTAAATTTGATTGCTAAACATTGTCACTTTGAATGTCAAACTATTTTTAATCTATTGATTTTGATTAAAAATCATAATACAAACAGAGCTAAAATCACACTAACAAAATAAACTAAATATGAAAAGTTGCATTGAAAGGGCATTACATTATTCTTAATAGGATCGTGTAGAAACATTCCAATGGCAGTGTTCTCAAAATAAAACAAAGTTACATTAGAAGACTCCCAGCCTGGTCACTCTTGAGACCTTACCTGTAACTCTGGCTGGTTGGGGTCTTTACTCTTGTACTACATGGCTCACTTACATCAGACATCATATTTGTATACCCTGAGAAATCTGACACTGAAGTCCTTATTCTATGGTCCACTTCTCCATTAGAGTTAGTGATAAAGGTCATTGGCACCCTGCTGCCCGACTTAAACTGAGAACCGAATGCTTGTGCAAAGTTCTCAATCTGGTACGTTGTTCTAGGCTCTATGTCTTTCTGAGGATCGATCTGGCTCGCTAGCTCCTGAGATGGAATCTGAAAGCTTGTTGAGGACTCTAAGTTTTTCTGTTGTTCCTTCTGGCTAGTCAATTTCTGAGATGAGGACTGGAAGGCTGATGATGTCTCTAAGTTCTTCTGAGAATCTATCAGATCATCCAGCTCCTGGGAAGGTGTCAACTGCTGATGTGTGGCATCCAAAGCAGATAAATAAAGACCTGGCTGAGATCCAAACAACATCCCAAAAGGAGGCTTTGGCAATGAAGATGGCAACACTGAGGTAACAGATTGGCCAAAACCACACTCCAAAGGAGATGTAGTGTATATCTGTTTTTCTGGAAACAAAGTGTGGTTATGGAGAGGTGAAGACAAACTGACAAATTGGAAACCATGTCCAAGAGTAAAACCTGCATTAGTGGATTTTTCAAAAGCCTGTTGGAGGTATTTGGAGTATTCTTGCAACATGCTTGTTTTATCATTTGATGGTGTTTGGGTGCTTGGGCTCAAATTTTCTTCTTGAACCAGTTCTGAGTGTTCTCCTGAGCTGTGTAAATCCACTCGTGGTTCTGTTAGGTTGAAAGGGTCCTCCTTCTGCGCTTCTGATTTGCTGGAGTACTGATCCAAAATACTCTGTAAAACCTCATCAGGAATTCCAGACTTGTCATGACAAGACTTAATTTCAGCATTTAGAGCTGAGGAGTCAATAAGTGACAATGGCGCCTCATTGTCCAAAACACTGACACCTGCAGACTGAATGACTGACTGTTGGGAGACCATGTGTCCCACATTTATAGAAAAGGCACTGTTGCTGCTGGCAGTTGGTAAGTATCTTCTCTTCTTTGAAAACTGCATGGCATCATCATAATTACTGCTTATCTGACCTTGTTTGCCACTTGTACTTTGGAGGAGACTAATGGTCTCCACACTATTACTCGACACTAAGCCAAGTGAGCCACCTGGCTTACCAGACAAGGATTTCTGCCCAACTACGTCTGGTAACGGTGACACAAAATTAAGGTAGCTTTTATCTGTATTCTTTCTGCTTCCTTTCTTAAAGATCAATTTTGGCACCCTTTTCTGCAGTTCATCTATTCCAGTGCCAATTATGCCCCCACTGGTGGACACAGTAGGCATTTCTACTGAGTAATTCTGCATGTTTATATTGTTTGACATTTGTGATTCGTTGGTTTTGCCAGTCTTGTGTTCCTTATTTTCAATAGCTATGCTTTTTGACTTGGATTTTCTCCTTGAAGAACTTGTATTTCCCTGAGACAACACAGCCAGATTACCCATATTGTTATGGTTTGATGACCCAGGTTCTGCACTAGCGGCTCCTTTAGCTATGGCTTCACCACATGTGCGCCTGTGCTTCAACAATCTGTCAGTCCTTGAAAAATACTGTTGGCAAGTGTCACACTTATATGGCTTTTCTCCACTATGTGTCCTCTTGTGTCTCTCCATATGGTACTTCTGAATAAACTTCATGCTGCACTGATCACATCCAAAGGGTTTCTCCCTGCTGTGAATTTTCTCGTGTCTCTGCAGTAGGTATTTCTGTATGAAACCCATGCTACACTGGCTGCACTGGAAAGGTCTCTCTCCCGTGTGAATGAGGACATGTCTCCGCAGGTGATAGGAGCTCCGGAAAGCAGCACTACAGTGATCACATATATGAGGTTTCTGACTTGGGGACAGGACGGCACCTTCTCCATCTCCAACCAAAGGTTTGGATGATGCACTTGGCTTCCTCTTGGCTTTGATTCCCTGAGATTCTGGCTTTGGCCTCTTTGCCTTTTTGACGTTAGTGTCCTGCTTTGGCTCCTCGTTGCCATGGTCATCAGTCCTGCTACCGCTGCTCAATAATACATCACGGTGGTGCTGGGCTGGTTGCTGCTGGACATGCTGGTGGAGAATACTGAGGTCTTGGATGACGCCGTGGCTCCCCCCTTCCCCTCCTCCTAGGCCTGGTGATCTCTCTTCAGCCCCAGCAAACAGCCCCCCATAGTGGTGGTGGTGATGGTGGTGGTGGGACTGCTGCTCCTCGGGATCCGCAGGTTTCTCCTGCTTGATGCTCACCAAAGACTGCAAGAACCCCCAGGAGGTCCTCTGCGAAGGGAAGGCCGCGGCTGACGCCGCCGGCTCCTTCTTGAAAGTCATGTCCGGGGCTGGCGGAGGGGGGGGGCTCGGCGGCCGGGGCTGCGGAGGTAGAGGAGGATAACACGCACTGCGGGGGAGGGGCGGCCGTCCCCGCCGGCCGGGTGAAGCTGGTGACCGGGGGGAGCCGGTGGTTGAACATAACCATACTCTGGGGAAAGGTGGGCTCCATCTCTGCTCTCCTGCCGCCGCCGCTGCCGGAGCTGCCGCCGGAGCCGCTACCACCGCTACTGCCGGGACCGCCGCCGCCGCTGAGGAACCCACTGCCGATTTTCATACCCCGGAGGAGGCCTGGCTGCGGAGAGGAGGGAGAGGAGGGAAGAGGGGGAAAGGCGGTAGGGCCGGGCCCCGGGCCGGGACCACCGCAGCGTATGGGACCCGCCGCGCCGCCGCCCAGCCCGCACCGCGCCCGGCGCCCGTCCGCAGCCTCGCCGCCTCCGGCCCGGCGCGCTCGGCCCCGCGGCCTTCCTGGCCGCCCCCGCGCCCGCCCCGGCCCGCCGGCCACACTTACGGGTTCCGCCGCCGCCGCAGCCGCCGTCGCCTCCAGTTAATAAAAATAACGCCGTCCTCTCCACAATGGAATTAAAAGCCTCCCCGCTTCTGCGCAGCCGCGGCGCGGTGTCTGCCGGGAACTCCTCGACCGGACCAGAGGGGAGCTCCGCGGGCTTAGTGCGCCTGCGCCGCAGTTTCCGCCTGGCCGGCCTGTCAATCAAGGGGGCGGTTGGGCGGAGCTGCTGGGGGCTGGGCAGGAGGGGCAGGGACTTAGAGCCCGACCGCGGAGGGGCTTCCGCAGCCAGGGGACGTGATTGGTGGCTGCGCCGAGGGGCAGAAAGTGGCTGAGGGTTTCTGGGGGAAAAGACGCTCAGGAGGTGGAACCCAAGGGGCGGGAAGTCGGGGGACGCCGGGAGAACGAGTTGCAGCGTGGCGTGGGAGCCTAGAGAAAGGGGTTGGAGAAGGTGGAGAAACTGAGGACAGAACACTGGCTTTTTTTTTTTTTTTTTAACTTTAGTGTTTGCAATCCAGGTACTGAGTATCAAAAAAATCAAATCTAGAAAAGGATTCCATAAGGTACTGGTGATTTGTCTGAAAGCAATGGTATTGATTACAGATACCTGTTACTCCTTGCTTTCAGAGAGGGGACAGTAATGACACGTGTCTTTGCGCTTACGGGAGGAGCCTGCTTTGAGACCGCCATAGAGGTACCGTTGCAAAAAACTGTCTCACTGCCAACCTACCTGAAGGCTACGGCAAAGGGAAACCACGTGTGAGTCCAGGTGCATCCGTCCTGTAAAACACGCCCACACTCGCTACATCATCAGATGGTATTTAAATACCACATACATTCTCCGTTGTCTGAGTTCCTTATCACGTTGGTTGCTGTCTGGTCTCATTTGTAAAGTACTGGCCATGGTTCCCTTCCCAGATCTCTGCTAGGATACGTACCCCACCCTTTCCACTCCTCCAGTATAGAATACCTAAAAACTCTTGAAAAAATTCTCATAACTCAATTGGGGAAAATTAGGTAAAATCTTGAAATTAAAAGTTGTACCAACAAAACCAAATAAATATTTATTTAGTGCCTAATGTTTAAAAGGCACTCACTTTCACAGCGAACATGCATGCAGTAAACCAGCAACTTCCCTAGGAGTATGCAGACATCACAGACATTTTTGTTCTGGATAGAAGTTATTTACATAGTGTGCTGCTTAAAGAAATTACATGTCCATTTTCTCAGTGTTTCCCGAAATGACGTCTTGTAATTTAATAGCTTCCCTGAGAAATTTCACAATTAAAGCTATAAAAATTATTACTATCACAGGCCTCTCTCAGCCTCTCTGGAAAACTTAAAACTGTATTTTATGAGTTCGATGAGGCATTGTACCTTGCTAACCCCAAGCAACTACATTTAAGTTATTTCCTGAAACTGTCAAGTATAGCTAAGTGTTAAACACTGTAAATTCAAAACTTCAGGCAGTAATAAAATATTAGTCAGTGCCAGTGAGAAATGAGGCTGTCCCTTTATTCAGGGTGTCAGTGTTTAATAGTAAGCTGGGATGCATAAGCTAGTCCAAGCATGAAGGGCAGCAGGACACTCATATGAAAGCCAACTTTGTTCTTCAGTTATCAAGATAAGAAACCTGTCATTTCTCTCATTCACTCTGTCAGCCTTGAGCTACTCCAAGCAGACTTACCTCTGTGTTGTACACCCCATATATCAGGAAGATGAAGAGACCCTGTAAAATAAAATGGAGGGGGAAAGCTGTTAACGCTAATCATTCCAGCAGTGGAAATGCCTGAGATAAACTTTCCTGGGAACAGACAAAAGAAGACACACTTCATCAAGGTCGATTTATTTTCCCGTTTTTCACCATTAGAAGTTGTACCTTGAGCATTTATATGAGAACACACCAGTACATCACTTACACTAGTTGTGCCATTCAATTCTTTAGTGGTAGAAAATAAAAATAGCATCCCAACTACATAGAGTAGTAGTTAGGAAATTCAGTATGTCAGTTTCTGGAAGTTAGCTGGATGATGAAAAAACTTCAAGTCAGGATGTCATCAAAGTAATATTAGAAATAACACTAGACATTAATATTTCTAAGTACTGTTTTGGGCTACAATGTATTTGTTATAATCAGTATATTTGTTATAATCTTTGAAGTTATAAAATTAGAACAGAATTGAAAGATTAAATGCTACAGGTTAGGGACATAGTTCAGTGGTGCTGTGACTGCCCACTGTGAAGAAGACTTGAACCCCAGTACCAAAACAGCCAACCTCCCCTAAACCTTCAACACTAAAGAGATAAGCTTAGATGATAGGGGCTGCAGACATAGCTCAGCAGTTAAGAGCACTTGTTGCTCTTACAGAAGATCTGGGTTCAGTTCCCAGGACCCACCCAGGAGATGCCCCAGGCATGCACATGGTATACATATATGGATGCCAGCAAAAATCCATACACATAAAGTAGGTCTTCAGGAAGAGACAGATATGGGTTGTCTGTTTGAAACAGTCTCAGTATGAAGCCGAAGTTGGCCTTTAATTCATACCTTCCTGCCTCTGCCTTCCAAGTACTGAAATCATGGCTTAAGCCCCCACACCCAGAAGTAGGAATGATTTTAAAAGTAACACTTAATTTTTAAAAAGATTATGTTTGTTTGAGACAAGATCTACCAACAAGATCTATGTAGACCGGGTTGTCCTAGAACCCACAGAGATCACCCTGCCTCTGCCTCCTAAGTGCTGGGATTAAAGGCATAGGCTACCAACACCAGGCTAAATATTTTTCTTACACTTTTTTCTGTGCATGATTATTTTTCCTTTCTGTATGCATGTGTACCATGTACAGCCCTGGTGCCAAGGAGGTCAGAAGAGGATCTCATATCCCCTGGAAGTGGAGTTTCTGACATTTGAGAACCAGTGACTGCTAAGAATTGAACCCAGATTTTCTGGAAGAGTAGCCAGCGCTCTTAACTGTCGAGCCATCTCTCCAGCTCCTAAAATTAAGAATTAAAGGGGTTGGGGATGATACTTATGGTAGAATGCATACTGAACATGCACAGAGCTCTGGCTTTGAGTCTCAGGAAAGCCAAGAGGGTGGGTGGATAGAGGTAAGCTTGTGTTTGTTTGTAGCTCAGTGATGTAAAACACCAGTTAGAGTTAAGATAGAACCTTACATTATTAGCTTTCATGCTACAATTTAATTATATTCTAGATCTGTTTACTAGCCTTTATTTTGGAAGTGCTGGATTCATTTCAAAATACAAATGAGCTGGGCCTGGTGGTAAAGGCCTGAAATCCCAGCTACTCTTCAGGTTGAGGCAGAGAATCAAAAGTTCAAACCAATTGGCTAATTTAAGGAAATCCTGCTTAATAATAATAATAATAATAATAATAATAATAATAATAATAATAATACAGGAAGGACTGATGACACTGTGAGTTCAAAGCTAGGCTATTAGACACAGTCCAAGGTCTGTCAGCACTGCATAGTGAAACTACCTCAAAGCAAAACAAAACAAACAATACCTAGATACCTTAATAGATGAAAGGGAATAAAACTGATTGCCAGGCCAGCAAGATGGTCCAGTAGATAAAGGCACAAGCTAATAATCCCTCTTCCACCAAAGATTCCCTTTTCATCAATATCCTACTTTAAAAAACAAAACAAAACTGTGCTTATGTGTGTTTCACGGCAGCATGTGACAGCTGTAGTCCTCTTTCTCCACCGTGTGGGTTTCATGAGTCAGACTCAGGTCATCAGGCTTACAACCAAGCATGTTTACCCATTGTGTCGGGTCACTGGGCCCAGGCCACGCTAATTTTATTGATGAAATAGGAATACCTTTTTTTGTGCAATAAATGGATTCCTTGGTAAATAAAACATCCTGAACATTGTAACTTCTATGTTACTAACTCAGCTATTTACATGAAACCTATAGTTTGAAAATCAAATAAGTCTTCTATGACAATTCATATTACTTATATGTAATTTTGCAAGGTTAGTTTTCTCTAAAGGTAGGTTAAGAGAAAATCATGGGCTAGGGAGTAGGGGGAGGACAGGCAGCTTTGATCCCAGCACTTGGGAGGCAGAGTTCCAGGCCAGCCTGGTCTACAGAGCTAATCCCAGGATAGCCAGGGCTACACAGAGAAACTTTGTCTCTGAAAACAAAGCAAAAGAGAAAGGGAGGGAGGGAGGAAGGAAGGATGGAAGGAAGGAAAAATGAATGAATGATGTTTTTTCTCCTGTCCTAGTAAACTGAACAGATTATGAAGGGTGACCCAGAGTTCCTCACTGTGCTTCAGTCTGTTTCCTATTTTAAATCATAGTTTGTTTAGCCCTCTCCTTTCTGAAAGTAGGATCTAGACTGAAGATGGATTTCAGGTTCTCTTTTTTCTCTTTGTTTATTTTCCCACTCAACAGATACACACTTACAGTATGCCAAGCTGACCCCAGCTGTGGTTTCCGCGGAGCAGAGTCTGAAACTCAGACCCCCAGGGCTTCTTTGACATGCCTTCTGTTACAGTATGCCCCTGGGTGCTGCCATTCATTTTCAGGCATTGCACAGGGTGGCATCTTTGCCACAGCATTACCAGATACTGGAAGTTCTGATCAGTTATTGACATCTAACTGAAGAGCTTCATAAACTCCAGTGTTGCAAACACATCTTCTCCATAGAAAGAATCAAACAGAAACATTTGGTCCCTGAGCCATAATGATTAGTTGCATTTACATCCTGCAGAGAAAAATACCTTTAAAAACAGCTGGAGGGAACTAACACCTAGTCTTTAACTGGCACTGAGATTTCTGGAAGCCCCATACTAACATTCTGTCCCACCGCACAGTGACTGTTAAAACCATGCCACATTTCCAGAATGCTAAAGCCCTCACACCTGAGTACTTCCCGCCCAGAAATCCACAGGCATGTCCATCCATAGTGTCTAGATGTGCCAAGACAAAAACAACTTACATAAATGCATTTACCTATATAAGTACTAGTTTCCTCAGCATTTTAGTGACAGGAATTGATTGACAGGAAGCTCCTCAAATATAGGTAGATTCCTGTGAGCAGGTATGAAGGAGCCAGGACTAGGAAAAGAACA